CTTTTACAGCTTTGATGTATATATAGTATTCACTCATTTTTTAACCTTTAGAGTTGTTCCTCACAGCAAAGCAAATCTGTAATTCTAAACTGATAGAGATAGGAATGCCTAGGTCCAAATATCAAGAGTCATTTTGACTCTTTTTTAGGACTGCTTCCTGTGCTCTGAGTTCTCTAGAATACAGATTGTGGATAGAAGGAGAGGGCAAAGCTGGGCGTGGTGGTGCACACCTGGAATCCCAGCACTGGGAAGGCTGAGGTCAGAAGATTGCTGTGAGTTTGAGGCCAGCCTGGGCTATGCAGTAAACTCAAGGCCAGCCTGAACTGCACAAGGAGACCTTATCTCAAAAAGAAAAAAAAAAAAAGGAGGGAGCAAGAACAATCTCCAGGTTGGGGTTGCGGTTGGGTTTGAGTGTAGAGCTACCTCTCAGTGGTAGAACATTGGCCTACCAAGCACGAGGCTCTAGGTTTGATCCCAGCACTGAAAAAAATAATAATAAACCTCCAAGTCCTCTGAAAGTTGTGAAGTTTTTTATGTAACTTCTGGTGTACCTTTCCTCAATCTGAAAGCAATCCAGTAGGGGACTTATGTAGCAAATTTCTTTTTTTCTTTTTCTTTTTCTTTCTTTTTTTTTTTTCAGAACCAGGGATTGAACTCAGACCCTTGTGTTTGCCAGGCAAATGCTTATTCTACTGAGCCATCTCCCTGGCCCCTGTAGCAAATTTCTTAACCTCAAGAAGTGACTTCTTTTTGTTTTTTGGTACCAGGAATTGAACTTAGGACCTTGTACTTGCCAGGAAGGCACTTAGGCCACTGAGCTATGTCCCCGGCCTAGAAGTGACTTCTGATGGCACATTGTATACCCTCTGGTGGTTTGGGGCAAGAGTAACATTCAATGCCTTGAACATCACAGGATCAGGACTGAGTGCAGGGCTGGAGGCTGCTGTAGTGGCTCCATGAAGAGGCTAGCAAGTATTGTGATCTATAGATTTAACCTAAGAGAAGCACCATTTTTATTATATTCAAAGTCATCAAGCTGTCACTGAGCACACACTATGTGCAAAGCCATGTGAGGTTGCTGTAGAGTTCTTGGAACCGGAAATTGAACTCAGGCCCTTGCGCTTGTCAGGGAAGCACTTATTCTACTGAGCCATCTCTCCGGCCCCTCTCTGTGATATATTAACAGATTTCTTTTCCAGAGTGACCAGAGAATTTCAGCCATCCTTTCCTGACTACTACCATATATAGGCATCATGCTGGGGGCTATCAAGATGAATCAGAGCTGTGCCCTGATTTATGGAGCTCAGAGTAAAGAGTGAGAAAGAAAAAATTACAACAGAATGAGAGGGTAGTTGTTCCCTGTAAAGAGCTTTGTGAGTGTATAGAAGAAAGTGATGAACTCCCTCAGGAGGTGCCAGAAGGGTTCAAAAAGATGGTATTTGAGCTGTATTTTAAAGGGTGGGTAAGATTTCACCAGGGAGACAGGCAAGTGGGAAGAGAATTTCAAGAAGAGAGAAAAGCACGTGCAAAAGCTCACTAAAATATACAGAATGTCCTTTGTACTATCATTTGAGAGGACAAATACACAGCTTTGAACTAGTGGTGTTTGGATTTTTTTGTTTACATTGTCGTTTTTTAAAACAGGACATGGTATGTTAAGGCAATGACAAGAAAGAGTTTGATAAATTTGAAAGCTCTTCTTCTTGAGCTGTGATGCTTATCTACCGTCTTGCACATTTTGGACCCCGCGTAAGTGCTCAAGCAGGCACTCAATTCCTGTTCGGTCCAGGATCGGCTCACAAAACAAAACTTCTACCTGAGAATTAAGAATAGATATTCAGGGCTGGTGAGATGGCTCAGTGGTCTAAGGCACCTACTTAGAACAAGCTTGGCAAAGCACAGGGACCGTGGTTCAATCCCCCAGCACCTCATGCCAGCCAGCCCCGCCCCCTGGTGGGCTGAGCTGGCCACACACACACACACACACACAAATAAATAAAAATTTTTAAAAAAGAATAGATATTCACAGTTCTGCCCTCTGTCACCCCAGCCTCTTCTGCTCTCAAGAAAAGTGTCTGCCACTGAACCCTAACTGTGTGTGTGAGACACAGAGCAAACTGTTTTGAGTCCTTACTGACACTGATTTCTACTTGGAGGGCCTCTATGTCACTGAAATTCAAAGACAGGTCATTTGAATGGGACAGTCCTATAGTTGATGACATAGAAGTTGTTGTCCCAGGAACTTCAGTGACACTGGCTAGTATGGATAGGCATATCACATGTCTCAGTTACTTTTCTCTTCTCTTGTAGGTAACATCTCTGGACCCTTCCTATCTCTTCCCATAAGCCACTCCCAGAAGCTTAGAATACACATGGCCAGGTAGTCACAGTAATGTCCCCACTTCTCTGTTACCAAATTCTTTTTTTCTTTTTTTTTGGTGGAAATGGGGGGGTTGAACTCAGGCCTTTACTGAGCTATCTCCCTGGCTCCTCTGTTACCAAATTCTGCCTTGATTACTTTTCTCTTGTTGCTGGGACAAAATACCTGACACCCAAAATCAAGGAAGGAAAGGTTTATTTAGCTCACAGTTAGTGGAGTTTTCAGTCCATACTCAGCTGGCTCCAAGACAGAGCGGCACATGACAAGGGGCAACAGCTCATGGCAATGGAAGATAGCAAAGAGCAAAAGGAGGAGCAGCAGCTGAAGCAGCTAGCTAGTCTCTTTCCCCTCCTTACATTTGTATGCAGATTATAATCCCAGCATTGGACAATTAATCACAAACTCTAGAAGTCGCTCCATGTCTGCATAAGGTTTTCAGGGGACACCTACACTCAAACTATAATACCACACATTTTAATTTTAACTTATTGTAGAACCTAAACATGATTGATCGAATGCATATATGGCAGTGATGAACATATACATGGTCCACACTGACCCGTCTTTTTTTTTAAAATTTTTTTTAACATTTATTTAGTGTGTGTGTGTGTGTGTGTGTGTGTGTGTGTGGCCAGCTCAGCCCACCAGGGGGCGCAGCTGGCTGGCATGTGGTGCTGGGAAATCGAACCGTGGTCCCTGTACTTTGCCAAGCTTGTTCCAAGTAGGTGCTTTAGACCACTGAGCCATCTCTCCAGCCCCACTGAACCGTCTTGATGTGAAATGCAGTGATGCCTGTGCTTTTTTTGAAAAAAAGGGAAGATAAATTTTACTATTTTTATAAGTTATACAATAATCATTAGAGTAGTAATAAATTTTTGCCTCAAAAATCACAAGGGAATACATGGCAGAAAATGTAGTTAGACATAAACCATTTGCAAATTATACGTAAGTAACTCTGAAATGGATGAAAAATATTCTTCAGTTCTAAACCTTGGCAGCTGCGTGACCAGTTCTTTCATGCTTGATCACTATAACTACACTTTTCTCGCAGCTACAATACCAAGCACAGAATGTAATATTTCTCAGCAATGAAGCTACACTGGGCAAATTCATTCTACAAACTGTCTTCGAGTACCTCCTGGAGCCAGGCACAGCGCAAGATTCTAAGGATACAGAAATAAATAAGATAGTTCTATCCCTACCAACTGCAGCACTCTGGTCTAGTAAAATAGTAAATAATCTCCTTTGGGTCAAGGTCCCTTTTGAAAATGTGATTCCAACTGGCCTTATGTTACGTAACTATTAGAGTGGGAGCTTCCTGTTTCCCCAAAGAAGTGTCCCTTGTACATGAAGTCTTGTGAAATCCCATGTAGACATTAAGCTTTGTCTTCTTCAGGGGCATGTGGCATGGTAGAAAGAACATAGGCTCTTTGAGTCAAATCATTGGTCTTCTGCTGTTTTAGCTGCAAAGGTAATCTTGGGGAATTTACCCAGTCTTTCAGACACTCACTTGCCTCATTCCAAAACCAACACTCCTCACAGCCACTTAACAGGGTGGAGGGGCTGTGTCAGTGACTATAAAGCACCTTTCGTGGGGTTCAACCAGAGTAAGTAAGAATGCTAAGTTTTTTAAAACAAGTCTTTCTGATTCAAGAAAAGAGCCCCCCCCCCAGGCTCCCTGCTTTCTCACAAAGACTCTGAATATACTGAATTATATTTAAGTCTCACCAAAACTCCAGAAGGGAGGCAAGAAACAATACAGCTGAAGAAACAAATGGGTAGAGAGGGAGAAATATGCTAATTTGTTTAAGAGACTTAGGACATCTGTGACAAATCTCACACCAACTCCAGATCTCAGTACCCTTTCCTAGTTATGAATGCTCAGCATGTTTAGTGCACAGCTGCATCCATCCCTCTATAAGCATTTATCAGCTACCACTTCTCATGACTTACAAGGCATGACCCACGCCCCCTAGATGCTTACAGCTCTATTGCACTGTCATTCTTTACCCATCTGTCTCCCCAGCCCACCTGAATTCAAAGACAACAGTGTCTGACACTTCTGTCTGTCCCCAGTTCCTACCTCAGCGCCTAGAAACCAGTAGGTCCGCAGAAAGAATGATACAGCCAACATTAGCAGAGTGATTACTATGTGTGTGGCATGGTTCTAAGTACTCTTGGTGCATTTTTACTCATCCAGATCCTCACAGCAGTTCTCTTAGTAGCTCCATTTTACAGATGACTTGCCCAAGGTGACAGAAGGACTAAGTGGCAAAGCCAAGATTCAGAACTCGGGCAGGTAAGGGCCGGCCAGATAGTTCAGAAGACTAAAGTACCTGCTTAGGCAGAGTGCAGTGGCTGGATCTGATCCCCTGTGTGCCATGTCAGCCCCGCCCTTGGGGTACACTGAGGTGGCAATTGAAACGGCATGGTGGCGCACACGCCTGTAATCCCATTGCTGAGGAGGCTGAAAACAGGAAGATCACTACAAGCACTACAAGTCTGAGCTGTGTAGTGAGACACTGTACTAAATATATTTTTAAAAAGAAAAGAAAGAAAAAAGAAAAAGAAGTTGGGCGGGTAAGCTCCAGGCTGAGCTCTTAGCTACTACACTACTTACCTCTCACTGCTGCTTGCTGGTGGGTGGTTGGCGCCTGGTCTTCCTGTCTTTCCAACCCTCTGTTTTCCTGTCTGGTATTTACTGGGATCCTGGGGACTGCTTTGATGATGACACCAGAGTGGGGGAATTACTCTCCTAAAACCAGAGGCAGGAAGACAGCTCCAGAAACACCCTTTCCCCCTCCATCATTTCTCCTGCTACTTGCCTCAAGTACCAGGTACTGACATCCACCTGCAGAGACCAAGCAGTCTTAGGAAGAAGCCAAGGATTTCCCTCTTTCCTCCCAGCCTCACTTTTCCACCCTACTTGGCTGTCAGCTCCTCCCTGCCCAATCTTTTGAGGCGGAGAAACAGGCTTAGCTAACTCCTGCAAACTCTGGTTCACACACTACCGCAAATTGAATGTGCCTTCTATAAGGTTCCCAGCTTAGCCATCTGTTTCTGACCTGCCTGTTCTGCTTTGTTTAGTTTTTGAGGAGGAGTAGAGTGTTTGGGTTTTGATTCTACCCCATGGGGGTAGGGCTGGTGTAGCAAATGGAGAAGGTGGAAGTAGGGGTAACAACATCAGTGCTGTGTTCATTCCTCCACTTTGCATTCCCTTGGCATTAAGGGTCCTGGTTTTGTGCTATTTTGATCAGATTTTGAGAATTATTAGAAGAATTGAGGGCTTCTAAGGAGCACAGCCTTCCCTGGATAGCTGGGTCAGAAGGTCTACATTTTCTCAGGTTTTGCTAGACACTGCACATCTAGCAGAACCAATGGGGTACACTGGGTAATATCACGGGGTCAAGGTTCAAATCCCAGCTCTGTTATGCCCTAAGCTATGGGACTCGGAGTAATTCTCTGTGCCTTGGCTTCCTCGTCTGTAAAATGAGGGAACAGTACATGCCTCACAGGATTGTTGTGTGACTTAAAAGGTTCATGTACTTCAGGTACTTTAGGTAACTGAAATAGTTCTTTTTTATTGTTTTATCCATATTTCCCTCTGAAGGCTAAGAGTAAACCTTTTATAAAGTATATATATATATATATATATATATATATATATTTGATATGAATAAAAAACATACTAAGGTGATAGTCATCAAACTGTTCACCAATGTTGGAAATATGAATGATCTTTCTTGCTTTGTACTTTTAAGTATTCCCTGAGTTTTCTCTAAATGAAGTGTACTGCCTTTGTAATTAGAAAAACAAAAGTAGTAAATACAAGTTTTAGTGAAAAATATAAGAACAACAATGAGATGCATTGAAAACAAAAAAATGTATTTTCCCTCTGGTAAGCAGGAATACTGAAAGGATAGTGAAATGTCTTAGGAAGTAGCCTTACAGAAGTTCAAAAACAATCTTGTTGTTCCCTTACCAGTAGAACACTGGCTAAGTAGAGTTCATTGGGGAAGGATCCCCAAGATAATGCTGTGAGATGAAAAGAGGGCCAGTACAGGACACTGTGGAAAGTATGTTAACCTATTGTGTTAAAGTGTTATCTTTCTTCTTCCTTACCTCTCCAAGAGAATCACAAAAACACTGATAAGGGAACAGGGTATCTAGGACACAGCAGGGACTTATTTGGCTAGTAAATACCCTTTTCTACCTTTGGAATTTTTTGGACTGCATAAATATAGCACTTATTCAACTTTCTTGGTATTTTGGTTTTTTTGGGTACTAAGGATGGAAGCCAGGGGTTTTGGCATACTAGGCAAATGCTGTAACCACTGAGCTGATTCTCCAGCCCTTTTTAAATTTTCCTTTGACATACGGTCTTACTAAGCTGCCCAGACCAGCCTTACACTTGTAAGCCTCCTGCCCAAGCCTCCAGAGTAGCTGGGATTACTAGCAGCATAAAGCCTGGCTCTTCTTTTTAAAATAAAATAATTTTAAAGTAGCTGACACTAGTATTTGATGACATTTTGCAGTTATGGTTACTATCTCCTCTTTGCCCAATATCTCTTTTATTTTTTTAATTTTTTATTTTATTTTATTTTATTTTTTAATTTTTATTTTATTTTTTTTTGTGGTATGAGGGATTGAACTCAGGACCCTGCACTTGCCAGGCAAGCACTTACTCTACTGAGCTATCTCCCTGCCCCCCCTTTTAATGTATTTGGTACAGGCTCTCACTACGCAGCTCAGACTCATAGTGAACCTCCTGTTTTCAGCCTCCCCAGATCTGGGATGCACCACCATGCCTGATCCCAGTGTCCAGGTCTACACACCTAGGGGTGGAGCCTGGGCCAGGCCTGCACAGCCTGTGGTGCCAAGGATCAAACCCCAGTCCCTGAGCTTGCTTAAATAGACACTTAGTCCACTGTGCTATCTCACCAGCCCTTTGGTCAATATCTCCTTTATGGCCACTAGTTGAGCTTCCCAAGCCAGGGGATGCAGGCCAACTCAGGGCCCTGACTCACCGTGACATCTGGCAATGGAGCCTGTGCTGCTTTGCAGTCCCAGTGGAAGAATGACGCAGTACAGGCCAGGCCCAAAGGGTGGAAAAGAATTGTCAGCCTCAGTAGAAGATGAGTGCACCTGAGTGTGTGTCAGTATACGGCACAGACGGTCGTGAAAATGGGAAGGTGGAGGATCCAGGACGAGGAGCTGCAGCTAGAGAGGGGCATGGAAGCCAGGCTGAGGGGCTGGCATTGTCTTAGTGCATGAAAGTTCCTGTCAAAGATGTGGTGTCACTAAAGCGTTTACAGTAAGAAAGCGTCAGGATCCAATTTGTAGTTTTGAGTTTGCTTGGGCTGCTGTATAAAGGTCAAATTGGAGAATGTAGCAGGAATAGGAAGAGCAGCTCCAAAGCTGTTATGAAATGGTGAAAGCCTGGATTAAAATTGTGAACTCAGATTTGAAGCCAATCCTGCCTGACTCCAAGATCTCCAAGATTAAATATTATTTATCTGTTCAGTACACTGCCTGGAAAAGAAGAAAACTTGAGGTTTTTTGAACACTGCCCTACACTAACACCAGCAAATAGAAAATAGAGATCTTCATCTACACTGAGACAAAATGCTACCTCTTAATAAAGCCTGTAAGATTCACAAAAGCAGTGCCTTTCAGAACTGGGGTTTGAACTCAGGTCCTTGTACTTACCAGGCAAGCACTTATTCTACTGAGCCATCTCCCTGGCCCTAGAAGTTCCTTTCAAAGGAGAAAGCCTCGAAGGACATGCTGTCACCTTTCTGGTTTAGCTATTTCTTTTTTAATTTTTTTTTTTTTCTTTGGTGGAACCAGGGATTGAACTCACACCCTTGAGCTTGCCAAAGAAATGCTTATTCCACTGAGCCATCTCCCCGGCCCCAGAGTTAGCTATTTCTGTCAAGAATTCTTGCTTCCCAGCATCTTTGGGGACCAGGAAGCTTGCATCCTCCCTTAATCTTTAAGCATTTTGCTTTATTGTTAGTATAAATTACCAAGTATCCTTTATTCTTCATATTGGAACTTAGAGAAATGTATCATCCTTGAATCCTCAATTTCTAATAAAGAACTGGAACGTAAATAACATTAACATCAGGAAGTTCCCAGGGCCAAGGTCGCAGTCAAGAACATCACTTGTTTAAGCTCCTGGTAGAAAGGAAAGGGTTGGCTTGCATTGTTTTCCCAGTACCTAGTGCACAGCCAACTTTCCATGGATGGCTGGGTGGGTGAATGGTGACAAGAGAACTTACCAGTATGTTGGGCAGACTCCTTTGATCCTGTCATACCTGGTACCAGCTTGCATGCCTCTCTTTCACCTCTTTTTCCCATAAGCACAACAATGAATAGCAAAGCTTAGAAGATTCATGTATAGGAGTTTTTCTATGGGACGGGGGGAGAAATTATGACCCTTAATCATATTTAAACAACTTTATTATTTATAATTCTTGTGCCATACAACTCACTCATGTAAAGTGTGTAGTGCAGTGTTTTTTAGTATATTCCCGGAGTTGCGCAACCATTACCACTACCCAGTCCCTGTACATTATGATCGCCTCTAAAAGAAATCTCAAACCACTAGCAGTCAAGCTCCTTACTCCCCAGTTCCTAGCAACAACTAATCTACTTTCCATCTCTATCGGTATGCCTGTTCTGGGCATTTCATATGAGTGGAATTCTACAATATGTGGCCTTTTATTACTGGTGGCTTTCAATTAACAACATTTTCAAGAGTCACCCATGTTGTAGCACATATCAGTCCTTTCTTTTTATTAGTATATAGGAGTTTTCTGAACTAGTAACTCTTGATTTAGGTCAGTGGTGGCAAACCTATGGCATGCAATTCACAGCAGGCTGTTTGTTATCATTGAAAGCTTTCAAAGGTTCCCCCTCACTGATCTGGTTATCACAATATTTCCTACTTTGGGACAACTGAAGTAACTTGTCTGAAACTGAAGAGAGGCCAAAGTGAATAGAACCCAGAATGAATGAAATTGCAGCCATCCTCATCTTTGGCAGTTGCACAACTGGGCTGAGCCAAAGATCTGTCTTCATAGAATGGCAAGCCCATGTTGTGTGCTGTGACCTCCTCCTGGCACTGGTCTAGTCTGGGAAGGGCTCAGGGGTACTGATGCAATGGGACGAGGCAAGTGTCTCCTAGCTTGTTTCTGGCTTGGGCAGAGCCTGGGCGCAATTCCTTGTCTTTGGACATCTGAGTGGAGTATGTCAGGGATCTCCTTGTTCCATTTGTTCTGTTTGCCAGTGGGCAAAGTACACCGTACTGTGAAGACAGGTTAGACAGTTTACTGTAGGCTGCTGAAAGCAGATTAAAAAACCATCAGCTTGGTGGGAAACTAGCTCAGAATGCAATCCAAATGTCAGATGAAATATTTACATAGCCAGGAGATAAACCAAGGAAAACAGTGTGCCCTTTGTGTGTGCCTCTGAGTGTGCAGAGCTGCTGACCATTTGTCAACTTCCAAGATTTATTCTGCTGCTTCTGGCAAGGGACACCCTAATGATTTAATAGCTCGTCAACACCTACACGGAGACACAAGGACTGGCACTTCCTCATTTCTTATTTTCTTTGCTTTAAATAGGAATTCCTATTCTAAGTCACTGGAACCTGGAAGTCAGACTGTCAGGTATCCCTTGACTTGAGTGCAGTTTCTGAATCTGAGCATTGTGAATGTTACAACTTTTCTATTATATACACACAGAGTTGCTACTCTTTCAGGGAAGAAAAAAAAAACATTGAGTTCATGTCCTAAAGCTCAAGTGTTTGCTTCAGACCATTGCTCTGAGCCAATTTCAAATGGAGTGAAACTGTTTTGTTTCTGTCCCATGAACCTCTTGAACTGAATGCCTGCTTGAGCAATCCAGTCCCTGCTTGCCACATTTACATTTCACATGGAGAAATTGTTGAAAGGATTTTCCTGGGGAAGAAGCCTGCATTTCTTGTGCAGAGTTATTCTCTAGGCATCCTTTGGCAGTTGTGAGTTCCCTGGAAGCAGAAACCATGTCCTTCACAGTTG